CGTGGTGTGTTCTAGGGTAAGGATATTTTACTGTATATAACCGTGGTGTGTTCTAGGGTAAGGATATTTTACTGTATATAACCATGGTGTGTTCTAGGGTTAGGATATTTTACTGTATATAACCGTGGTGTGTTCTAGGGTAAGGATATTTTACTGTATATAACTGTGGTTTGTTCTAGGGTAAGGATATTTTACTGTATATAACCGTGGTTTGTTCTAGAGTAAGGATATTTACTGTATATAACTGTGGTTTGTTCTAGGGTAAGAATATTCTACTGTGTATAACTGTGGTGTGTTCTAGGGTAAGGATATTTTACTGTATATAACTGTGGTGTGTTCTAGGGTAAGGATATTTTACTGTATATAGCTGTGGTTTGTTCTAGGGTAAGGATACATGTTTCCTATCACAGTTTCTGTGTGAGCAACTCTTTAACACATTGGATGTAACCAGGAAATATCATTAAATATCATGTCCATGAAAAACAGGCTTACTACACCAAGTTAAAACACACCAGCACTGATAGCAGTGTTAGGCTTGTTTTTAAGTTATATTCTACCATTTTGTGCCTTGTGCTGGTCGGAGAAAGTATCAATCCAAAATGTGCTACAAATCTGTAGTTCCATTTTGTTCTATTTTTATCCAACGAAACAAAAATTAACTCTGTTAGAAAGGTCTAGAAATACAAGTGAAATTATATGTTCTGTATTCGAGAAATCAAGTAAAGTATTGTTATTAATAAATTGAACAATAATCTATTTTAGAATATGGAAAAGGAAAAAGCTGGTGGAATTTTGGTTAAGACTGATGATTATGTGACTGATTCTTTCAGGGATTTTAAGAGGTACTTAAATTTTTTGAGATATCTTGTACTAGCCCGGTATTTTGTAGGGAATATTTTAATCCTTTTTACACTTCCACACTAATGGAGCAATACCAAATTTAAATGGAGACAAGTTCCAACATTTCACGTATCCACTTCGGTTCAACATTAGAGTGAAAATGGCAAGTTAAATGTTGAAACTAATTTTGTTGTTGTTGTTCCATTAATGTGGATTTGGACTAAGATATGTATACATATCTTTAATTAAGAAAGTTTGAATACTTCAGCAAACAGAACACATTATAGTACACTTTTAGTTATTCAGAAACCTTAGTTTCTATTCTTTTAAAATCGTGTTTCACTTTGTTGTGTTTGTTGGTTAAAAATAAACTTCTTATAATGTTATTCAGCATGTTCACTAATATGTACTGAATGATGTATCTGTTAAATGTATAACTGAAGTTTACCTATATGTGTATTTATCTAACTGTATAAACTTAATGTGTGACTATAATCTACTGGATATACAGATCTAAAATCAACAGTTGTTCTTCTTCCTGTGTAATATAGTTTACTGGATATACAGATCTAAAATCAACAGTTGTTCTTCTTCCTGTGCAATATAGTTTACTTGATATACAGATCTAAAATCAACAGTTGTTCTTCTTCCTGTGTAATATAGTTTACTTGATATACAGATCTAAAATCAACAGTTGTTCTTCTTCCTGTGTAATATAGTTTACTTGATATACAGATCTAAAATCAACAGTTGTTCTTCTTCCTGTGTAACATAGTTTACTGGATATACAGATCTAAAGGCAACAGTTGTTCTACTTCCTGCATAATATAGTTTACTGGATATACAGATCTAATGTCAACAGTTGTTGTCCTTCCTGTGTAATATAGTTTACTTGATACACAGATCTAAAGTCAACAGTTGTTCTCCTTCCTTTGTAATATAGTTTACTGGATATACAGATCTAAAGTCAACAGTTGTTCTCCTTCCTGTGTAATATAGTTTACTGGATATACGGATCTAAAGTCAACAGTTGTTCTCCTTCCTGTGTAATATAGTTTACTTGATATACAGATCTAAAGTCAACAGTTTTACTACTTCCTGTGTAATATAGATTACTGGATATACAGATCTAAAATCAACAGTTGTTCTCCTTCCTGTGTAATATAGTTTACTTGATATACAGATCTAAAATCAACAGTTGTTCTACTTCCTGTGTAATATAGTTTACTTGATATACAGATCTAAAGTCAACAGTTTTACTACTTCCGTAAACTATATTACACATGGATATACAGATCTAAAGTCAACAGTTGTTGTCCTTCCTGTGTAATTTAGTTTACTTGATATACAGATCTAAAATCAACAGTTGTTCTACTTCCTGTGTAATATAGTTTACTTGATATACAGATCTAAAGTCAACAGTTGTTGTCCTTCCTGTGTAATATAGTTTACTGGATATACAGATCTAAAGTCAACAGTTGTTGTCCTTCCTGTGTAATATAGTTTACTGGATATACAGATCTAAAGTCAACAGTTGCTCT